CAGAGATGGTTTGGGGGTCTTGCTTCATTTACTCACTTATCTTAAAACTTTCCTCTGCAACCACAAAATCCTTCAGCTTCAGGGCACTGAGACTGTAAAACAAAGCACTAATCCCCTCCAAAATGGGTGAGAAAGGATGGGGAGGCATCGCAGGTCCCAGGGGGCTGCAGGCAGAGCACGAGCAGAGAAGAGATGGGGCAGCATTTGCAGCACCACTGGTGTCACTGGGAGTCCTGCTGAGTGCCACATATTTGAGTCTAAAACATTTTAGGCTCTCCTTTCATTTTTTTTTTATGCAGGTGATTGGCAAACGGAAAAGCCTCTCACTCCCCTGGACTGCAGGCTCGCTCTTTCCTTTTTAAAATACATTTCTTTTAATTTTTTTTTCTTTTTTTTGGTATGCAATTTCTTCTGCACAACTGCAGGAAGAGGCTTTTGCAACGCTCAGCAAAGGGTTTTGAGCCAAGGGCAAGGAGCTGCCCCGTCCAGATCCCTGCCACTTGCACTCAGGAGATGCTCCTTTGGCAGCAAACCCTGGTGCAAGCAAACACTGCGTGTGCAGCATCACCCCCTGCACTGGTTCTCCCTCCACAGCCTGGATGCTCCAGCAGATAACAGCAGCTGTTCAGGGGCAAGCGTGTGGCCATATGTTGCTGCTAACAAGCATTTACTGGAGCTGGTTCCTTTCTGTGATTCCCATGTGTCTGATTAACTCACAGCTCCTCCGAGCAATTTTCAGATTTTTCACTCTCCCCCTTGCAAATCTCCCTCCTTTTTCTTTTTTTTTTTTTTTTTTGTTTTGTCGCTGTTTTGGCTTTAAAAGCAAACCAGAATATGAGCATAAAATGGGGTCAAAAGGTGCAAGATTTAAAAAAAAAAAGAAGTGTATTTAAATAGCTAAAAAGTCATTAATTTAATTTTGTAATTTTTTCATGCTCAGAAACACACCGTTTCTGGGATGACCCTGCCATGGTCGTGCAGACTCCAAGCACAGATGAGATGTTCAATAACCAACCACCTGCCCTAGGAGGGGGAATTGATATTTCCCTCTTCTCAAGACACGTTTTTGGATTCTGCCTGCAGACCTGGGCCCCTGCCTGAGCATCTGATGCTGTGGGGTCCTTCTCAGGAGCGTGAAGGAAGGAAAATAACCTGTGGCTGTAAGAACTTGAGATGTTTTTTACTGGGATTGCAGCAGGGTGTACAACCCATGGGCCTGAATCCCTGGTCCCCAGGCTTGGGAGGATGGGCTTGGATCCTTATTTACCACTGCATTCCCAGTTAAAACAGACTGGGGAGAAATCAAGCTGACTGACCTGGGTCCCTGGGCTGTGCCAGCATCCCATCCTCTTGGGAAATGTTTTTCCAGAGGCTGCCCCATCAGCTGAGCAGAGAGGAGGGCGCTGTGGTGATGGGAACATCCCTTATCTCACCGAGCTATGGGAAAGGAAAGCACCCTGGTAGGCAGCAGAGACAGGTGCTGTCAAAGGTGATTCATCCCACCCTTGGGAGGTCCAGCGTGGGTGGGGTGAATCACCCTCCTTCAGTACCTGCCTCCCTCCAGAGCCAGGACAGCTCCAGAGGAAGGCTGGAGATCACGTTGCACGTTAGGACATCCAAAACTAAAAAGTGTCAACATGTAGGTGTCTCAATATGCACAGGGTGCTTGTTACTTCACTTCCGAATGGGTGAATGACGTGGGATTAGTCCCACCATTCCTACCTGGCACCTGTTTTCCAGCTTTTGCACCTCCTTCAGAAAATAACAAGGAAATTCTGCAACTCCTGAGTGGCCACATGAATTACAGGGCTCATGTTTGCATCAGCTGTGCTCACAGAATCACAGAATCATTAAAGGATTTGGGTTGGAAGGGACCTTTAAAGGTCATCTAGTTCAATTCCCTGCCATGGGCAGGGACACCTTCCACTAAAACAGGTTGCTCCAAGCCCCATCCAAACTTGTCCTCAATATTTCCAGTGATGGGGCAGTCACCAACTCTCTGGGCAACTTGTTCCAGTGTTCTGCCACCCTCATTGTAAAAAATTTCTATCTGGTCTGAATCTCCCCTCTTTCAGTTTAAAACCATTTCCCCTTGTTCTATTGCAACAGTCCTGCTAAAAAAGTTTGTCCCAATCTTTCTTCTAAACCCCCTTCAGGCACTGAAAGGGGCTCTCAGGTCTCCCTGGATCCTTCTCTTCTCCAGGTGAACCCCCCCAGCTCTCCCAGCCTGGCTCCAGAGCAGAGGGGCTCCAGCCCTCGGAGCATCTCTGTGGCCTCCTCTGGACTCGCTCCAGCAGCTCCAGGACCTTCTGCTGTTGTTCCCCAGGGCAGCTCTACAGGGGGTCTCACCTGAGGGGGCAGAGGGGCAGAATCCCCCCTCCCCTGCTGCCCACACTGTGGGATCAGTCCTGTGCTCATCAGACCCTGCTGCAGCCAGGCCTCTGGAGCCTGGTGAGATGAATAAGAAGCCACCACACCCTGAGCTGGGAGAGAGCCCCAAGACCCTCCAGCCCAAAGCTGCTGTTCAGCACACCCATCCTGGTTGTGAAAAGGAAGCAGAGCCCCAGGAAGGCACCTCCACGCTTAGCTGGGCTCACATGTGGATACCTGTGGCCTGGACTCACCACACAACATCAAAATGGGAAGAAATAGGGTTTTCTCTAATCCCCCTCTTCCCCCCAAAACATGATCACTGCCAGCACTCGGGTCCCTCCAACCCTACCCAACCCAGCGCCAACGCGGGAAAATCAACCTTAACTCCGCAATCATCGCCAGCATCACAACGCCCACGGCCCCTCGGGGTGGAGCCCGTACCAGCTCGATGCTTCATTCAGAAGTGACTGTTTCAGCTTTCCAAAAGGTGCCTTTGGAAAGCACAGATCTGTGTGCCGGGCAAACATCCGAAAAGCTGAGGCCACGCGGGTCAGCAACTGCAGCGGCTTTGCCTTCTCACCGTGGCCACAGGCAAGAGAATCAAGTCCTGCTAATAATTTAAAAGCATCAATTAATGCAGTTTAATAAATACATAAAAGGATTTAGCCTCTCTTTTTTTTTTCCCATCCACTTTTTTAGCATCGATCAAAGTTAAGGGTGATTGTCCCGTGAGTAACTAAGGCAAATTTGTGTGTGTGTGTGTTTGTGTGTGTGTGTGTTTCTCTCTACTTTTTTGTTTTGATTTTTTTCCATCATTTTGTACATAAAGCAATCACATAAAAATAGTTATAAATAGAAAAATTGCAAAGGTTTATCCCCACTTAGACAAATAGGAAAAAAAAAAGAAAAAAAGAACCCAACCAACCTAACAAACAAACTGAGACAGAAAAAACACCTTGCTTCAAGTCCTTGCAGATTATACAGTACTCAGCATCTTTGGATATTTTACAATGACTCCAAATAGTAGACAAAAAAACACCTGAAGGAACCAGTCATCTGCAAAATGTTGCTTGTTGTAAGAAGTTGATACGGATTAAAAAGAAAAAGTTTGTTGCAGTTTTAAGAAGATTTTCTTTTCTTCTTCTTTTTTTTCTCTCCGTTGACTTTCGTTGCACGTGGAGTCTTTGTGGATTTCTTTTCTGGAGGAGGAAGCGAGTGCTGGGCAGTTCCTTGGGATCATTCTGCTGCGGGTAGTCTCAGAGCAGAAGTCCTTCAAACCCCCGTGGGGGCAGAACCCAGATCCCGTGTGTCCCCCTCCATGCTCTGGTGGGCAGATTCTCATCCAGCCACCACTTCACTGATGGACAAACCAAAAAATTCATGAACCCGCGGTCCTCTCATTCCCTTTGATTTTGCTGACGTTGAAAGGTAACAGTAAAAAGAGAAATAAAAAAGCCCCAGTTTGTACCATCTACATTTTCAAGTGCTGGTTTCATGTACAACCAGCTTCCTGGGACACTCACTGCAAGACACGTCAGCCAACGCTGAAACTGGGGTCCCACCACATCTCCCTCCCATGGCTCATCTAAGTGGAACCATGGGAGGCAGATGGTCACCAAGAGCCTTTATCCATCAGAGTAGCTCATGGTTTCAGAGCTGAAGGAGGCTGACAGGGCAATTCCAGCCAATCTGCTGCTCTTTTGGCCTCAAAAGAATCCTTAGATGGAGTGGCCAAGATGGGGTCTGCAGGGATGCTGGGGAGACACCCCAAACCTGCTGGTCACCTTCAGCTTGGAGCACCCTAAATATGTTACCCTCTTATCTTTTGAGCCAACAAAGAGTGAAGAAATAGCATTCCTGCTTGCTGGCAAGTAGACAATATAATCACCTTTAGTGAACTTCTTTTTCACAAAGGTCCCTTGAGACAAGCAGCAGGGATATTTCCACACTCAATTTTTTTCCCAACAACATTGCACGTTCTGTAAATTTTTGTCATCAAAATATACATATAGGAATTCGAGGGAACTAAGGACAGAACCCCAGACTTTTCAGAATGGTCAGTGGCGGCGAATTCTGACTCTTTGGTTTGAAACGACTTTTTCATTTCGAAATTCCCACGTGGTTCATTTTCGCAAAGCAAGGGTTTAATGAAAGCTCAATATTGAAACATTTCTGATTCTTCCAAAACTTTTCCTTCACCTTTTCAAGCAACTGAAGTTAAAATACTCAAAATAGGCTTTGGTTCTCCTTTTGAAATTTTGAAATAGCTAAAGAACCAAAATAAGTAAATCCCCCTTTTACACCCAGCTTTGCAGCTGGGTGATTTTTTATCTCCTTTTTTTTTTTTTTTTTTTTTTTATGTTTTTAGGGTCCCAACTCATGCTGCAGATCAGGGCTTTCACCAGCCCTGTAAATCTGATATACTGCTGAGAAAGTCAAAGGCCAGGATCCTCCCTCTCCCAACATGGCTGCTTGACCCTCCCCTTTATCCCTTGTAGGATAAATATTGTTGCCAGACATGGGAATCAATTAAAAAACAAAAAAACCAAACCGAACCAACCAACCAAACAAAAACAAAACCAAAAAAAGAATACAAAAAAAAAAACATGGAAAAGAGAAAAGTCCTTTTGACCAAAAAGGCCAAGGAATGTAACAGAACAAAACCAAGTCTGGACGGCTTGTTGGTGTCCAATGGGCTCTGCAGGTGGAAAATGGGGAGTATTTCCCCCAGAAGAGCCATCTCGAAGTGATGGCTGCGCCCTGGACTAAGGCAAGTGACATTTTCGGGAGCATTGAAGAGAGCAGCAGTCCTGGCCTGGCCTTCCCACACGGAGCCATGAGTGGTGGGTGGCTGGGTGGGACAGCGAGTGCCTGATGGCCCCAAAGCCAAGTGCATCCAGAGTCTAAAGTGCCAGTGGCCAGGGGGCACAGCACCTGCCCACTCCTTGCTCTCCCCAGGGACAACCCAGTGCCCCAAAGCCCCATGGCAGCAAGGGGACGAAGAGTTTCTCAGGAGTCCAGTGATGCAGAAGGGCAGGTGGAAGGCCCCGAGGGAGCTGGCTGCCTTGCTGGGAGGGGAGCAGGCGCATGGTGGGACCGGGAGCGGGTTTAGTTGCTTGCCTCTGAGATGGGAGCCACATGGCCCAGCCCCGCCAGGCCGCTGAAGCCTGTGCTCCAAGGGTCGGGGAGCGGGAAGAAGGGCTGGGCGGCGAGGTTTTCATTGTGGCCCAGGGCGAAGGCGAAGATCCCCGCGTTCCTCTCCATGTCCATCTGGGCCCGCCTGAAGAGCTTCCTCTGGGTCTCCTCGAACTGGCTCTCCAGCTCCTGCAGGCTGAAGGAGGCCTTGGCCCCGCTCAGGAAGTGCTTGGGGCTGGGGCCGGGAAGGCACATGGCCGTGCTGCCGAGGTGGCCGCTCATCTCCTCCAGCGCCGGCGGCACCACGAAGCCGCTCTCCACGGGCGGGCCGCCGGGGGCGAAGAGCAGGCCGGCCGCCCGCCAGGCCGCCGGCTTTCGGCCGCGCCGGGGCCGCGCGATCCGGCAGCTCTGCCGCTTGATGTGGCGGTGCAGGTGGTCGGAGCGGGTGAAGCTCTTGTAGCAGAACTCGCACTGGTAGGGCCGGATGCCCGTGTGGATGCGCATGTGGTTCTTCAGGTCGTAGTTGTGCACGAACTTGGCGTTGCAGTGGATGCACAGGTACGGCCGCTCCCCCGTGTGCTTCCGCATGTGGATCTTGAGCTTGTCCTGCCTGCGGGAGGAAAAAAAAAAAAAAGGCACTTTTGGTCAGGGCGGCGTGGGCTGGAAGGGGTGGGGTTGGGGTTGCTCTTTGGGTCAGGGGAGGAAAGGTGGGAAGCTTGTCTCGGGGCTTCCCCCAGCGCGTGGATGCTCTTGCAGGTTTGACCTCTGCATTCGCCTTCTCTTTCCTGGGCACCTAAACATCACACACACACACGTCAGGAGTTTGCAGCCCATCCCAGAGAGGTCAAAACTGGCTTAAATTGGAGGAAAAAAGCCCTCTGGAATAAACCCCAAAAGCAGGGAAACATAGAATCATTAAGGCTGGAGAAGACCCCTAAGATCATCAAGTCCAACCATTCCCCCAGCACTGCCAAGGCCACCACTCACCCATGTCCCCAGGTGCCACATCCACAGGGCTTTTACATCCCTCCAGAGATGGGGAGTCCACCACTGCCATGGGCAGCCTGTGCCAGGGATGGACAACCCTTTCAGGGAAGAAATTTTCCGTAGTATCCAATCTAAACCTCCCCTGGTGCAACCTGAGGTCATTTCCCCTTCCCTGGGGAGCAGAGCCTGACCCCCACCTGGCTCCACTCTCCTGTCAGGGAGTTACAGAAAGCGAGTACCTAAACATGGGAATATATCTACCTATGTATATCTAAATAAGGGAATAGCTAATTTAGTACAGCTCTATTCCTGCTTGCAAGTAAAGAAATTTGTTCAGATTCAAGAGTCTGGCACCGTGGGCTGAAAATACTGCTTAATTTAAGTCCCTCTTGGATTTTCCTTTCATTTTATCCTTGCACTGACCACACGGTGTCTCAGGAGGCTTTCATTTGCAGCAGGAGCATCACAGAGGGTGGTGCTGGCAGAGGTGCAGCTCCCAGGCACTCAATCCTTCGCTGCCATGGTCTCCAAGGCCAGCACACATCCAGACTCACTCAACAGTATGGAGAAGGTTTTTAAATCCAGCCTTGGAACAGTGTAATATCCATCTCAATGGCACTTATTTACAAATTTATATATATATATACATAGAATTTTTTTTTTAAGGCAAATATCTAAAAGCAAGAATATTTTCTCACTCTGGCAGTCCAATCACTATTTCCTCCCCCCTGCAATAAATGTTTCCTTCTGCAATCAAAAAAAAAAAAATCACAGCTAAAGCGTATGATTATAAAACTGTAAAGCTGTCTGTAGCTGAACTGAGCCAAGCACTGCTCAGCTAGGTTGCACCAGTGGAGTTCAAGTAAAGAGCAAAGTGTGAAAATTCATATTGTTTTACAAAATGCTTTTTGGTATGAACCCTCCAAAGTGCTAATACTGGGGCTATATGTAGAACACATGGAGTCATGTCAGTATGATATATAAAACCTATATATTATAGATATCTCACATAAAACTGCATTACATATTTTAGATAAACATTAAACAGTATATAATATTGTTTATTATGGCTTAAAAATATAATTGCATTCTAAATTATATAATACATAACATAAGTACATGTTATGATATTTTGATTTTTGTAAAAACCACCCCCGAAAAAAATCTGTTTATTCTGCCAGGTCAAGCCCTCAAAACATGCAAGGTGCTACCTTTGCACTAATTTGTGCCACCCTGCCTGTGTGCACACTGAAGTAGTTTTTGGTGACATGCCTGGCAGCACACTGGTGTCAGCCAGTCCATGAGGAGTGCAGCCCTGGTCTGGCCACCCCTGTGCACCAATCCCTCAGGATCAAGGATGCAGAGAAGTATCCCTAGGAGGAGAAGCACTTCTTCACCAGATGATGCTTTATTGACTTTGGGAAACTGGTCCCAGCCTTGTCCTGCACCTAGAGATTTTTAGGGAGACAGGAAAAAAAAAGCATCTCCCGGTCCCTGCGCCAAGCTCAGGGCCAGACCCCAACTTCCCACTCTGACATTTTTAAAGCTGCTGTTTTCCCCAGGATTTTTCGCAGGGATGCACTCCCCCCGAAAGGGCTCAGCAGAAGACAAAGCAGCACGGAAAATTTCACCCCGAGCAGATAAAACGTGGCGAAATCGCACACACGGATGAAGGCAGGGGGCTCGTACTGCGAGGTGGTGGGAAGCGTTAATAAAAAGCAGAGCCACCAGCCCCACCTATAATTTAATTTAAACCTCTATATGTAATGTTTAACCTAGCGGGATCGCTTTTCCTAATAAACACGCCGCGTGCCAGGACTGCATAATGTAAACACAGGCAAAGCTCTTTTCAGGCTGTTACCCATCTCCGGCAGCAGACAGGGAGAAACTCAATCCCCCCACGCCCTGGGGGGATGTAAGAGAAGGTTTATGGCTGTACCTGGAGCAGCTCAGAGGCTGGGGGCGGGGTGGGATGCTCCGGTTGTGGCGGAGCACCCCGGGGAGGATGTGGCGTGGGGGACACAGGCTTTGTGAGCCGGGAGCTGGGCTCACAGGCTCTCCAACGGAGATCCACACTCCGTGTGTGTGAATAACCTTAATGCAATTGCATTAGGAGAGCGATTAGGGCTCTGCGAGCTGTCACAACACAAATAATAGGAACAAATAATGTTAACCTTTCCGGCTGGAACAGTTTCTCCTTGAGCACTCTGGGGCTGTCTTGGTGGAAAAGCTGAAATATTTGCAGTTTTCTCCAGCGTTCTAGCAGGGTGAAACAGCAGACTAGAGGCTGAGCAGCCTTTGTTTAAGGAAAAAAATTAATGAGCTATTAAATGAAGTCCTGCTTCCTGCGATCAGATGTCCCTGGGCGGCGGGAGTGGCAGATCCAGGTGCATGGGGGGGTTCCTCACATCCTACTGATGTGAAGGGGAAGGGATCTGATGGGGAGGTTGGTGGACTCCCCACCCAGGAAAATATATTTTCTCTATTTTCCCCGGTAGATTTGCTCATACACAATTCTTTAAAAGGCAGAAATAACGCAAAGGACTGATTCACTCAGAAATCCCATTTGGGAACCTCTGCTTCCCTGCACCTCATTCCCAGGGGACCCCAAAAGGGACCATCTGGGCTTGCATCTCCCCAGTGAAGGCACTGTGGGGCACAAGTCTGATGCTTTCAGGAAGCACGAGATTTCCCCCCTGAGAGCAAAACACTAATGTAAGTGTCAGCATTGAGGAAATCCCGACAGAAATCTCTTCCTACATCTCAATCACTCCACTTTGCTTAAAAACACACTTTTTCCTAAAGGGGAGTTCTCACACCAGAGTAATGCTGCAAATGGCTAAAAAAACCCACCTCAAACAAAACCAAATAGCTGTTTGCTATTCAAAATCCTTCCAAACACATTTAAAAACAAACCAGTGTTTTGAGATTTCCACTTAGCTCAGGGTGTTAGAGAAGGAAAAATCCCTCCTGCGCTCAGCTCAGTGCCAGGTGACCCACACGAACAACTTTGCTTTCATCAGTGATGATGGGAGACTGCACCACTGGGTCCGTCCCAATTTTGTCATTTTTTCACTCAGTTAAAGTCCCACTACCCCTGTGCTCTGTATTTAGAAGCTGTTGAGCATATGGGGGATGTCAAAGCTGTTGGGTTTCACAATGGGCCATGCTAGCCCAGCTCTGCATGGAGCTTTTAACCTCCATGATGCTGATTTAAGCTGCCTGGCTTAGGGGTCAGGATGCCTGAACTCTCACCTGAACCCTCCTACTGACCTTCAAAGTGAGCCAGTACCAGCATTTCTCTGTGCCTCGGTTTCCCCAAACTAAGCCCTTGCATGTAAAGGACTTTGGGAGCCCTCTGGAAGGGCTTGGACCTATTATGCCCCTTACAGGGAAGGTGTCAGTGATGGGTCAAGCCAAGCTATTCCCTCATCAGCAATCAGCACCACATGCAGGAGAGTAACACGGGCTGGCCAGGTGGTCCCTCCAGCCTGGGATGCCACCACAACCACCGGGGTGAACCACCTGTCTGGAAGCAACAACCTAGTGCTAACCTGGGGATGCAGCACCAGCAGGAGCCGGATCCGAATTCCTGCAGGCAGGAATTATCACCGTGCAGTGGCCCTTCCCCTAAAAATAGCAGGGTGAGCCAGGCTCACGTCGCATGTGCCTGCCCGAGGCATGATGCTCCCCGCATCATAATGCGGTGTCTGCTGCGTTAATGGAGGGGAGCATGGAAATTTATTTTCAGGTCAAATCCTCATCATCTGCATATCTTCCATTCGAATATTATCATAGGACAGGAGAAGAAAAGGCAGGCTGAATGCAGGAGCACCCCAGGTGTCTGGCCATTGTCAGGAGCTCGCCTCTGCCTACTGCGCAGATTATTTTCCTCTGGTTTTCCCGCCCCAGCTTAATAGGGCTCTCTCTCTCACACACAGCCAGGAGCTGAAATACCATGCTCTTGTCAGAAAGCTTTATTATTATGGTAAAGATTGTCCTCAATAGATATTAATTATACTCAGCAAAAGCAGGTCCAGGAATCTATTTGTCTCTGCTCACCGATTAAATTTGCCCAGCTTTGCAGGGAAGGGTTTCAAGCTGGAGCATTAGATTTGTATAGCCTGCTCCAATTGCTGCCCAGAGAAGTTGTGGCTGCCCCATCCCTGCAAGTCTCCAAGGCCAGTCTGGATGAGACTCTGATAAACCAGGTCTAGGGGAAGGTGTCCCTGCCCATGGCAGGGGCGTTAGAACAAGACAATCTTTAAGGTGCCTTCCAACCCAAACCATTCTGGGATTCTATGAGTCTTACTGTTCCCCCAGCACTACCAAGTCCACCAAGCCATGTCCCCAGGTGCCACAACAACACATTTTTTAAATCCCCCCAGGGATGGAGACTCCACCACTGCCCTGGGCAGCCTCTGCCAGTGCTTGACAATCCCTTCTATGATGAAATTTTTCCCAGTATCCAATATAAACCTCTCCTCATGCAACCTGAGGCAGTTTCCCCTTTGTCCTGTTGCCTGTTATTCTGGAGAAGAGACTGACTCCCACCGCACTGTAACATATAATAATTAGGACTGCTCCAGCCTCAGAAAACCCAGATACTGTCATGTCCAAACATGTGCAACTTAGTTGTGGTCTATACTGGTGCCAAAATGTGCAAACCCAAACTAATTACATCCTGTGGCTAAATGGCCCTCCCAACTCAATGCATGTCCCAGCACACTAGAGATGAAGCCTCCTTGGCTGTTTGACCATCTGTTTTCCAGCTCACTCTGGTCCCACTGTGGTGAACTATTGTGGGGTTGAAAATATCCTGTTACTTATTTAAGCTTTTGTCCAGTGAGGGGATGGATCCAGTGAGTTGTGGATGTCATCCAAAACCCACAAAAATCAGTAGGTTCATTTTTCTTCCTCCACCCTCCTCACTCTCCTCCCTTACTCCCTTTTTTTTTCTTTTTTTTTCTGAAGGGATAGAGATCGTGCTCTGCTTTCTTTCCTACTTTTTTATGGGGTGAAAAAAAAAAAAGTGTAGCTCAGGAATCAGCCACGGGTCACGACATGGCCCCTCCAACCACCACCACCCCCCTTCCCACACATGGCAGAGGTACCCAATGCACACCTGGTAAAGCGAACTTCACAGATATTGCACATATAGGGCTTCTCCCCCGTGTGGGTCCTCATGTGCCTGGGCAGCTTGCCGGCTCCCATGATGACTTTGTTGCAGATGGGGCACTGCTGGGACGCCTTGGGCTTTATTTTCCTCTCTTCCTCCAGGGGCCATGGAGGAAAAACTCCTCCGAACTGGGTAGCGCTTAAGAAATTGAGATAAGCACTATAGTCAGTCTCTGCCTTAATATGCCCTAAGGGAGCTGCTGCGGTGTTGGCAAACATGTCCTTGAAGAAGTCATTAGGGAAAGGAGGCGGAGGCAGGTCTTCCTTCTCCTCCTCTTCCTTGATCTTCCTCTTTTTGATCACCAGATCCAAGGGGCTGTTGTCTACTTGCGGTTCCTCCAGCTGGGAGAAGGAGCTAAAGTCTCCGTTCCATAGGTGGGGGAAGAAGCTGGGGGCGAAGGGAGAGAGAGCTGGCCTTCTTTCCGGGATGTTTGGCTTAGGGTACAGGTTTTCACTTAACAAGGACTCGATGGAGAAGTCTCGTATCATGCCCAGGTGTCCAGAGGAGTTACTGGCTGGGAAGTGATTTGGAAAATCTTTAGGTGCTTCTGGATATGCTTCTTCGGTAAGATCAGACTCAGAAGGGCTTTGGTGGCAGCTTACTTCTTGTACATCGGTTAGGTTCTCCTGATTGACGAAATCTTCCACTTCCTCCTCCTCCTCTTCCTCCTCATCTTCGTCTTCATCTTCGTCATCATCTTCGTCCTCTTTGTCGTCTTCCTCTTCGGCCTCTCTGTCGGGCTCCATGATTTCAAGGCATACGTTGATAATGCTCTGGATCTCCAGCATCTTGGCAGCGCTGAGGATGTGCTTGACGTTTGAGGTGGTGATGGTGAGCGTTGAGGTGTAGGCGAACTCGAGGATGGCAGAAAGTGCTTCAGGCTTGACAAAGTCAATCTCGTAAACATAGGGCTGGTCTGTTAAAGTGCCGGTAGTGAAGAGTTTTTTGAAGTACTTGCTGCAGGCAGCCAGGACGGAGCGGTGGGTGCGGTACTCCTGGTCCTGCACGATGAGGATGACATCGCAGAGGAGCCCGTCGTGCCGCTGCTCGTTCAGGCCACACAACACCTCGCTGCTGTGGTTCGGGAATGGGATCCCGATAAGATCTTCAATGCCATTGGCCATATTCTCATTTAGTGCCCTAGGACAAAGCACAGGCAGCGGAGTGTTAGCAGGGGATTCCCAATCTGTGACGCCAAAATGATGCTGCCTTGTCTCGCTGTCCTTCTCTCCCCCACCTCACTTGGACCCCTGTAACCACCTCCCACTTGCATGGCCCCACTGTGTCTCCATTCCACCTTCAACTCCTTCCAGGTCCTCTGTGATCTAACCTCTGCTTCCCTCCACATCTTTTCATCTCCTTCTTTGTCTCCATCTTCATCTACTCAATTCCCACCCTATTCATCTTTTCATAACCACCACAGGCTCCCTCTTCTCTTTCACATCCCTCCCCCAGGAACCTTGTGCAATGACTCCCTCCCATCAGGTTTCTTCTACGTCCTCCCAGAGACAACATTGTCCCAGGCACATGTTGGATATGCCCTGCCAGGAGCCATGTGGGGAAAGTGTGATTCTGTATTGCTTCACACTGCCAAGTCCCAGCACCCACACAGCTTAAATCAGGAGAGCCAGGGAGTGCCCATCCCATCTACACCATTGTTCTTGGGACTGGTACAACTGGATGTCCCAAATAGGAGGGTCATGGCTGCTTGCTGCAGTAGGAGAGTGATCCTTATGGACAAGTAGGTATCCACTTCTGCTACATCATGCCTGGAATTTATCCCATGTCACCTCAGCATGTGGACAACCCGCATAGGGGTGTCTTGCTGAGGGATCTGGGAATGGGGAGGCAAGCAAGGATTTGTGTCACGGTGTACCTAAATGCTCAGAGGAAGAAAAAGAGGGAGCAAGGACCTGGCCAGACACAGATTGCTGTCTGCCATCTTCTCCCATGAGCTGAGCTTGCCTCATTCCCAGTCCTGCTTGGACTTGTCAGCATGGTATCAAATGCCCTGTGCATCTGGCAGACATCTTCCCCTGCTGGAGCAGTTTTAGCTTCAAAGGAAACCTCGGAAGCAAAAAGCCCACACCCAAGAGGAAAACCTGATTTCTTTTTGCCATTTTTTAATCTGTAAGATGTTTCCTTTTTCACATGGCTCCAGCAGCCCTTGCACATGAGAAATCCCAGGAAAGGAGAGTGATTTCCTCCAGCAGGCGACGAATACATTAATCCCCTCACACACAGAATACATCAAACAGACAGAATAACTTTGAATACACTAACCCTTTGGAAACCCCCAGGACACAGAGCATGTGTTCATGCAGTGTCACCTCTACCAGCCCCAGCTTGTGGCCCTGCTGCAGGTAGACACCCAGTTCAGAGCCGAGCAGTTCATCCCCGAGAGAACTCAGGGTGCCTGTAAGTGAAACTGCAGCCCCCCTCTGCCCCCTTTCACATGGCTGAGACCATCAGGTTCCCAATCCCACCCCCTGCACCTCTGTCAGGTTCCCAATTCCATCCCACACCACCTCGGCATCTGTCCTGGGATCTATTGCTGTGCCCTGGGTGTCCCTCCCTGCTCAGTGTCTGGCTGCACTCACTCCAAACCTCCTTCACACCAGTTGTGGGACCTGGACTACCTCATGGTGAGGGGCTGGCTCCCACCCTCCCACCTGCCACCAGCCCTCAGGGGTGGAAAGAGCCTGGCCTGATGGAGGTTGTCCACAAAAATCCATCCTTCACCTTGTCCAGGAAGCCGGCGACCCTTGGCGAAGCCTGGGGGGCCCCTAGAGGGGATCAGACTCAGCAGCGAACATTCCCGTGGGAAAAGGAACGCTGTCTCCCTTCTCCTCCCTCCGCAGGGCCGTTCTCCAGCTGAGAACTCGCAGATATCTCCCCCATACCTAACCAGCACTGCCAAAAACTCGCACGTGGGAGCCAGCGAGCAAAGGCCTTGGGGAGATGGTGCAACACAGACGGAGCCCACCTGGGGGCAGGTGATGGACCACAAGCCTGGTGGGAGCCACACGGGGAGCAGGCACAGCTGTCCCTGAGCAATGAAGCCTCCCAGGGGGCTGGCACCATGGGAAGCCCTCTGCAGCCACCTCCCCATGCCCAGAGTTGGGGGGAGGAACCGGGAATTACAGCCCCCCCCGAGCCCCCTCAGCCCCAGACACCGGCACTTTCGGTGGAAGGAGGATGCTCCAGCCCCCCGTCCCGCGGTGTGCCCATTACCTCCACGCTAATTACGGCTGTTGTCTGAAACAAATTGATTCATTACAGTGTGCTCTGCTTAACCACATTAACCAGCTACACTCCTCTACGAGCCCCACCAGCCCCGTATCAAATCCCCCTTGAAAATCGCCGATAAATGACAGCAAATCCAATGTGTTCTCCAAGTGGAGTGTAAGATAATAAATAACCCCTGAGCCAGGGAGGAAAAGACAACTTCCTTTTTCAGGGCTTTGTATCCCGAATAATAAGCATGAGCAATTAAATTTCTATTGCTGTTTTCATCTTCTACTCATTTATTTTTGTTTGGAAGGAGCATTAGTGTTAAAGGAGCTCCTTGCATGAAGGAACATGTCTTCCTACAAGCCTATTTTGATCTTTTACTGCCAGTTCACCCCAAGTGCCAAAGATCAGAAAATCAGAATATTAGACTACCTTGAGAAATGTTTTTATAGAGGGTTTTTTTCTGGACATTAAACTTCATTATCCCTAATTATTGAATTGTTCACTGCACAGCAAGAAAAAATTGAATTGGGAGATCGGGGGGGTATGTGATTATATATATATTTATATACATTTTTTATATATAAAATATATTAAAAATGATGTTGCTTTTGATGGAAATTGATTGGCTTTCCTTTCTTTTCCCTTCCCGGTCCTCTTGAGAAGTGGTTCTGTTAACCACAGTGCTTAGGCAAGCCGATAACTTTACAGGATGCTGGCAAAATTGAAGGTGATTCATGTCATTTAAATGGGGGGGGGGAGGCAGAGGGAGAGAAGCAGCCCGCTCATTTGCATACATTTGCATTTTTTAAACTCGCAGGGTGGTTTGACAGCTCTGGAGCTCAGTGAGCTTGAGAAATGACCTTATGGTTCCCATGCCCCCGGGGAGGTTGATGGCCAGAGGCTGGAAGTGTGCTGAGCCTGACGTTTTCCTTCCTCCCCCTCCCTCCTCTCCCTCCTCCTGCACTCCCCCCTTCCCCTCCCCAAGCCAAGGGTGGGGTCCTCAATAATAACAGGCATAAAAATAGCATCTGATGGTGACAAATGTCACCAGTGCACGCACACACACACACACACACACACACACACACACACATTCAAAAGCTGAGCAGACGACACGGAGTTAAAGAGAAAAATCCCATTTTATAATAGAAAATTACAGCATTGTTAAAATAAACTGGAGGGAGATGGTGGAAAGGGTGGAGGGCACCTAAAATAAATGTATTCTGCGAATGACATCGCGAAACATTGCATTTATGGTCATGCTTAAAACTCATTCACTACTTTCTTGCCAGGAAAAGCACGATTTATAAAAAAAAAAAAAAATTATGCTGGGAGATGCTATTTGGGTGTCAGACTGCTTCTCCCCACATTCTGCCAACAGATTTAGTCACTTGAGGCTGCAACAGGAGAAAAAGGGGGCAGGGGGAGCTAAGCATCGTACTCTTTATGGATGAAAAAACCCAAATACAAGCCGGGGACCACAGAAATATTATAAACCACCTGCAACGTGTGCTCCCTGGGTGACCCAAAACTCATCCAGGCACTCCTCTGCTCAGAAACCCCTTCTATTTTTTTAAAAAAGATTTTTTTTTAAATCTTTTTACTTCAAGCTCCTCCAGTATAATACAGCACCTGCAAGCCAGTAATGTAAAATTGAAATATCAGAGGGAGAGGCGAAATGCTCATTTAGCATCGTGGTAAATTAAAAAACCCCAGAAGTATACTCAATAGATTCTAGAGATATGTGCACTGAAAATAGATAAAACAAACTAATATCGCCCACATTCATTTGTATGGGTGGAAATGGAGGATGCAGCTCGGAGGAGCCCCGGGGAAGGTGGGACAGGATACTGCCTCTGGATCTCAGTGTTGCTCAATGCCAGGAGCAGGAGACCTGTGACCTGCGAGGGCTCCTCACCAGCACTTCCCTTTCCCATCTCCTTCCTCATCCCCAGGGACAAAGACCTGGGAAGCTGAGCCCTTGGAGGAGAGAGCCCAGGCTTGTGCAAGGTGTGGCTCCTGGTTCAGGGCTCCGGCAGGGACGGGGATGCCCCCTTCCCAACTGCTCCATCCGTGAGGATAACGCTTCCCAACCCCAGTCTTAGCTGGGAGATGGCAATTTTGGCCTTTAATTGTATGCTGGCATGTAACATAATTGCTATAATGTGCAGCATTTCAATATTTCAGTATTTTAATAGTCTAACATTTTAATATATTAATATCACAACACATTAATATTTTATTGTTTGTATGTTGTACATATTTAAAAATTTACATTAGTGTTGTACATATTTATATTTTATGTGGGTTTATTTTATATTTTGATATCTGTATAGAGATTTTTGGAGCAACTCACCTTGAAATGTGCATTGATTGGACTTCTCTTTGCTATGATTTTCCCCTCAGGAAGCTGCTGGCTCCTGACTACCTTTCTTTTTGGTGTGCCTATAGTCAGTCTCCATGGGATTGCCACCCCAAAGATATGGGGGTGCCCCAGGGTAAGCTGGGGATGCAAACAAGCTGCCCCCCCATGCTGGGCTCATTCTGCATTCAGCACAGCGGGGGAAGGAGCCTGAGGCTCTGGCTGATCTCTGCCTGCTACTGGTATCAAAATGTCATTTTTCCAGGCAAAACAAGGTGTCTCTAGTTCTTCTCTTCTTCACCCCCCACTCCCGTATATGCACTGGGTTTTGGGGTGCAAGCCCAGGGGTAAGTCTGGGGTTGGACATCCCTGGACACTGCTCCCCCATCCCATCCAGATCCTGCCCCCCACTCCCCAGTCAGTCCTTGCTGACACAAAACCCCTGGAGGAATTTGAGCTTTACATCTGAAGCATGAGGCCACCCAGCAAAGCACCCCAGAGGTGGCAATACCAGGATTCCGGGTGCTGAGCACCCCAGGCC